TGGACAGAGACACAATTATACTTTTCAAAAGGATTGAACGGCGCTGAGTCAGAATCTGAACTCTTTCATCATATCAGGTTTTCGAGATATCGTGTCGCAAAATTTTGAAGAAAGATTATTTGAGACGTTAAAATTTTGTTATGTCATCTGAAGGTCCAATCTGTGGACTTTAAAATAACGGTTTAACCTTATATCTTCTTTTGAGCCCAAATATTCAGATTCAGTTCAGCTCAATCCATTACAAATGTATACTTTGGTCTCTGGGTTTGTTGGCCTCTATTTTCAAAGACTTAAGTCCAAATACTAACATATAGTGTCAGTTTCCGATATTAAATTTTGAGGTTATTCGAAAATAAAATATAAAATTTTTGAAATTTCATTACATCGTTAGTTGGGTTTGCTGGGAAAAATTTCACTTTTGTTTTGCGGAGACATGATAGACGCTTTGTGCTTGTGCCGATTGTAAATGTGTATGTAAGAGCTTTTGTTCATGTGATATTTGAAACTAATTTCCGGCTATAGTTACACTTTTGTACTTTTTAATAGTAAAGACCATGTTGACTTTTCAAATTTTAAAAGTCCGAGAAAAATTTTATAAAATGTAAACACAATTTTTTTTTAAAATTAAAGTAAAGTAAATAATATTAATTATATTAAAAGAATGATGTTATAATATTATAAAAATATTTTTTTCCAATTGGGTATTTTATTGACTTTTTTCATTGTGGTACTATTCTTTTAAATTTTCAACGAAAGGTATTTTACAACAGAATTGTTTTTAAAACTCTGAACACGGTTAACATCTAAGCGAAATACATACATATATACATTATTATAGATCAGATGGGATAAAACAAGATAGAGTGCTATATTCGGCTATGCCGAATCTTAAATACCCTCCACCAGCAAACTGCTTTTTATTGAAACCCATCTAACTATCTAATTTTTAGATAACTTGTCAAAATTTTTGTCGAAGTAATTTTGATTAGGTCCAGAAAAATGTATATTAATACGCCAGTTCGAAAACATTTTAATAGAATGATGTATCTATACACAGAATATGGGAGTTGTGACCAATTATGGACTGATCAGGAAACAATTTCGTATAATGATTTATATGCAGAAAAAGATCAAGTCTAATTTTACTCCAATAGCTTTATTAATCAATGAAATATGTGCGTTTAGGTGACTTTAGGAAGTGGACTTTATATAGGAGCTATGAGCAAGTAAGGGCCTATCCGGAAAAATTTCGCAGAGTGATTCATATGTGCACAAATCATATTTTATCAAGATATCTTTATTTGATAATTAAATATGTGCGTTTAAGGGATTTTTTGAAGTGGACCTATTACCAAATATGGACCGATCCAGAAAAAATTTGGTACAATGTTTTATATGCCTATCCGCAAAAAATTTCGTAGAGTGATTTATGTAATGACAAAACATATTTGTGTGGAATTTTCTCAAATTAACTTTATTTGACAATGAAATATGTGTGTTTAAGTTTAGGTAAAACATTTTTGTGTCGAATTTTATCAATATAGCTTTACTTGGCATTGAAATATGTGCTTTTAAGTGATTTTCGGAAGTGGGCCTTATATGGGATCTATGACCAATTATGGACCGATCCGTAAAAAATTTTGTAGAATGATTTGTATGTATACAAAACAGATTTGTGTCGAATTTTATCCCGATAGCTTTATAATTCAATGAAATATATGCGTTTAAGTGATTTTCGGAAGTGGACCTTATATGGGGGCTATGACCAATTATGGATCTATCCGGAAAAAATTTCGTAGAGTGATTTGTATTTAGACTAAACATATTTGTGCCGAATTTCATCAAAATAGCTTTAGTTGACAATGAAATATGTGTTTTTAAATGATTTTCGGAAGTGGGCTTTATATGGGAGCTATCACCAATAATGGACCGATCCGTAAAAAATTGGTAGAATGATTTGTATGTACACAAAATATATCCAACTCGAATTTCATCACAATATGTGCGTTTAGGTGATTTTCGGAAGTGGACCTTATATGGGAGCTATGACGAATTGTGGACCAACTGAGATCTACGTTGACAGTATGATTTCTGTTCATATTATATTTACATGTACAAAATTTCGTGTCGATACCGATATATTTGAGGGAGTTATTAACGATAAACTAATTTCCGGGAATATATATCTTTGTATGGGGGCTATGGGAAATATTCGATTGATTGTAAAGATTTTGAACATAATTGATCACTAGCCTGAAAAAATAATGTATGACAAAATTCATCGAAATATCTTTGGTGGTTTCTGAGAAAACTTCAAAAGGATTATGAAAAAACGTAATTTTTTTCGAGGTAGTCTGAAATTTTTACTCATAACTTTTTACGTTGTGACCCGATTTTGCTAATTTTCAATGCCAAACTGCTTAGGATAATAATAAATAGTTTGGGTGAATTTGGTTTATTTCCTTTGCTTAGTTTTAACGTGAGCGTGTTTTACACAGACAGACAGACATACAGACGGACATAGCTAAATCGACTCAGAATTTGATAAGGACCCAGAATATATATACTTTGTTGGGTCTTAGATGAATATTTCTTTGTGTTACACACGGAACGACAAACTTATAATTGCAGATAATTATATAATATAATTTGAAAATTTTGAAAACCGTTGTAACTCCTAACATTTAATTTAGAAATGATTTTAGATGTTTAATAAATAGATAAAATATCTAAGTATGGATCCATTATGGATACTTTGATGGTAAATCTCAGCCATTTTTAAACTTTCCATTGTTCTTAAACTTTCATTTTCAATTTTCCTATAAATGTTCATATATTTTCTTTCTGTTTGATGTGGTTCCTATATTTATTTTATTATTACATATTAAAATAAAAGAAATGAGAGTTCTTTATTCGGCTATACCGAATATAATACACCCACCATGAAAGCATGCGTTTGAATTTCGAAATATTTACTCATTTATTTGATTTATGCTGAATTGTAAGTATTATCGTATATCACTGTTAGGGCCAATGTTTACGATACTGTTCGATATTTTTTCTGGGTTTAAAGAATTAACATTAAGTGGAATCCTGGATCGATATTGTCAAGTTTCATCATATTCATATAATTAGTACCATACTTTTGCGGATCTATAGCATACAATTTTTTATGTTACAAATGGAATGACAAATTCATATAACCTACCATCTTTTTTAGTGATGGGTATAAAATATTATATTTTATTTGTACCAGTATTAGTATTTAGTACTCAAACACATACAAGTAGTTGTGTTAAAAATACTAATAATAACAAAATCAATAAATATCAAAAACTTATTTATACATATTGTTTTATTATTATTTTCTATATTGTGCTTTTAAGGTCTTTTGTCATAAAAGAAATAAAAAAAGTCGAATTTTCCTAATACGATCTTAAACGTTTTGTTCATAACTATAAAAACAACAAATAGACTTATTGTTGTTGTTTTTTGCTTTGTTTTAACATAATCGGCTTTTATTGTTTTTGGCATTAAAGTCTGCCAACAATAAATTTCCTTGATTTTTCTATATAGTATTTTTTGGTATTTTTTTATGATTTATTTTGTTGGTATATTCAAAAGAATAGCAGAGGAAAGAATTTAAATTTTTTATCATATTGATAAAAGGCCTATGGTTGTCATTAATTAGGACACAAAGAACTATTGATTTTTTCAGAATTGTTAGAATACATTAAATATCAGAAAATTATAAAAATTTTAAAAACATTTACATTTTAAATTGACATTTTTATACAAAAAATAGTTTAACCGGCAGAATATCTAGAGGATAAACGATAACCGGAGGTGGAGTTAACGGGTCTTAATGTTACATATTATGGGATAATATTTGGGAACATTTTCTGAAATTACTTCGAAAACATTGTATATTTTTTTGGAATCGGTGATTTTACGACATCAACCCCACATTTTGTCACAAAATTCACCGCCATTTCCAGAATGGCCAAGGTGCTACTATTACTATACTAATACATTAGAAACTTGTCCATTTAAAATCCATTTTTCTATTAGTGACCTCGAGCGTCAAACATGGTCAAATTGGAAGAATACCTATACATATTCCACCTGTATAGGAGATTTAAAAAACAATTTAATTACAATTTCTAAAATTAAATTATTTTCTTAACATACCATTAAAGTTGCTGGCTTCATTGGAAACTTTTCCTCTCTAAATCATATTGCACCAAAACAAATAAACTTCAACAATATAACATCATTTTAATTTCCCTTTTATTAGTTTCTACCTTGACAATGTTATGAAATAAACATGTGAGCGGTGTAGTATGGTGATTGAACTTGCTACAGCAACTGCCACAAAAAAAACCATATACATGCAACATGAGTGTTTGGTCATGGCTGAACACATGCAAATGTAAAAATGTCTCATATTACAAGCAATGACAACTATAACAACAGCAACATCGTCTTAATGAAATCAAAAACCCTTTTTAACTGCATTTGTAATAAACCACTCTAAACAAAAAAAAAACAAAAACTGAGGAGGAGACAAAACGCAAAAAAAGAAAGAAGTGCTGCCTCACTATATAAAAGCTGGGACAAAATAAAGAAAATTTACATTTTAATCAAAAGTAACCAAAAGCAAACAAGCCACAACTAATCTCTACGCAGCAGACACACACTGCATCTAACCAGCTAGACAAATGAACAACAAAATATTCCTCCATGCTATCTAGCGAGCCAACCAAGCAATCAACCAACGAACCAGTCAGCCAGCCAGCCAACTAGCTTATAGGAGTTACAAAAGTTTGCATATTTGTTAAGGATAAATTCATACAAACTGACAACAATTGGGACTAAAATCAAAACGTGCAGGATAACAGTATTAGTGGAATTTAAAAACAACAGCAGCAACTAAAAACAATAACAACACAGAGAGAAGCTGGAAAAACAAATCACGACAAAACGTCGTTGCACAAAAAATGCAATTGTGGCCAGTGTTGTTATGGCCTAAGCCAAAGGCTAGACAACGTATACAACACTATAGGAATAGAAACATAAATTTACAATTTGCTACAAGGACCTTCTCAACCCCAGCTGCAACAGCAACAACAACATTTCACTATGCACTTATAATCAATACATTGCTATCGATAGCAACAACGTGGGGGTTAACAACCACCCAGCAGCAACATCAACAACAAGAATCAACCGGCAATTATGAAGGAGCCAATGCTGTGGCAGAGGCTGCGGATGTTATATCGGCCCTAACAGGATTAACAAATGGTTATGCCAGTCCAGACTACATAAAGAATTACTATCATGTAAGTGAGGCGGCGGAAGCTACTGAGCAACAGCCGCAGCAACAACAACAGCATCAACAAAACAGTGCTGCAGCAGTTAGATCGGGTCAACAAGGAGATGCTGTGGGTGCCGCTGGTATTAATGGTCGTGGCTTTATGGGCTTACAGTCAAACAATTATGGAAATTCTATTGTTGCTCGGGGTGCCACTGCTGGAGGAGTTGTAGGTAGAGGTCTTGTTCATGAAGATGCGTTTAGTGTGTATAATGGTGGTTTTGTGCCTACAACTTTTACGGCTGCTGGCCAACATTATGCAGCATCTTTAGGAGGCCTACAAAGTGCTACAGATAAAAATAATGTACTGCATCACTATGCCACGACTGCGGCATATAAAAACAATTTACATGCGAATCATCAGCCATATGGAAATGGCAATAGTAATAGCAACTACAACAGTAATAACAACATTATTGCTGAAGCCAATAACAACAAACACAACAATAATGCACAGAAAACTTTGTTTAGACGATTATCAAATTATGGCGGCCTAGATAATGTTGGTGGTGTTACTGCCGGCGATACAAGTGTTTCAGACGATGATGGCAGTGAGAGTGAAGGTGAGCCTATTGCAGGCGGCAATGATAGCGATGGTCTTATGGAAAATTATGCATTGGCTTATGAAGATGAAGGACAACAAACTCCAGTACTGCAAAATTTCTATAATCAACAAACTACATTTTATGATGACCAGCAGGAACAAGAGAAAACTTTTGCAAATTATTTTCCACCATCAATGACTGCAACAGCTACAGTTGGATATGAAATAGAAAACCCGCAAAAATATTACACATTAAATAATTATAGACAAACGACAAAACCACGACAGCAGCACCAATATATACAATATCAACAAAAATTACCAGCATACGCATCACAACAACAACAGCAGACCATTACTACCATGCCAGCACCAGCTACATATTATCAAACATTTATACAACATAAAAATGATAATCAAGAACAGCATCACCATCATCAACAACATTACCGCCATGTAGCTGGAGATAATTATCACACATGGAAACAAAATCAAATAATGGCTAATTATCAGCCAAAACAATCAACAACAATAGAAAAACAGCAGCCGCAACAACAACAGCAGAAGCATACGCAATCAAACAATAATCAATATCAACACAGTTTAATACAGGAACCGGAAACAGCTGAAACCTCCCAAAGTACACGTATTAAAAAACCCCTAAAACACAAAAGTAAACGCCACGATGCCCAGGAACATGCCTATAATTATGATGCCCTGCTCGAAAATAATGATATTGAAACCGAAAGAGATGATATATCTGCCATACAACTGCAACAATTACAACATCTGCAACATCAGTTGCACCAGCAACAACAACAATTTGTAGAATTACAACATCAACTCATTGATCATGATCAACAATTGCAAATACAAAAGCAAATAGCACAATCCCCAGCACCAGCATTACCACCCATTACCCATACCGTGCACCATAATCCGCATAGTTTACAGGCTTTGACCGGCACGCCCATAAGTCAACATACCCAGGTTATTAAAGCTATACCCATACCGCAACATCAACAGATTCATGTGCCCTATAGAGAAAATGTTACTATCGAAGTGCCCGATACTATGATAACAGCGATTAATAAGCCCGTACCCATTGAAATACCCATGACTAGAACTGTGACTATACCAAAAATTCAGGAGGTTAAAATTCCCATACAAAAACTAAAGCCCTTCCCAGTGGAACGTCCCATTCCCTATATAGTTGAGAAGCGGGTTCCATATCCGGTGGAGAAACAAATAGCCAAACCGGTTTACTATCCAGTACCCATAAAAGTACCCATTGTGCATACCGTAGTTCATAAGGTTCATCAACCTGGATACGGTAACTATCAGCAACAGCAAAATTATGGTCATGGTAATTATCATCAGCCTCATAATAATCATCAACAGAGCTACCATTTACCTCATACCGTTTATCGCCATAGTCATGGTCCTGGTCACGGGCATGGTCATTCGTATTCTCATTCTCATCATTACTAAATGTAATTTTCTTCTTGTTTCTTAATATTTAATATTTTTATTTTAAAATATTTGGTTTTATTAGAACCAATTACAAATTATTGTTGTTTTAATAATTAAAATTTAGGTAATTTTTAGCTAAGTCCAACAACATTAAAGTCAGAGGAAACAGACCTCGTTTTATACATTTATAAAATATTTATATAAGATTTAATGCAATAAATTATATATTTTTTTATGTCGCAAATATTTGAGTTAAAAATTATTAAATTTCACTAAAAAATTTTAATTTTCGATTTTGTCATATAATTTCCATCTCAGCCGGTCTTAAATCTAATAAATACTTATTTGAAATCATATCATGTGAGTTCAAATCTTAAAAATTACTATATGTATAATCGAGTGTCCCGAATGTACCATTCAATTTATATGTATTAATGTACTATACAAGAGAAAAATAAAAAATATTTTTTTAAGGGGCCTCAGTTCCCTACCAGCGTATTGCAAATCCTAATCTCAGTATCAATCTTGAAAAAAAAATTTTCGAAATGGGTTTTAAAAATTTCGTAATGGGTTTCAAAAATACAGTAATTTTCAGGTGATTACGGGAATAATAATTCTTAATTTTTATACTCTCCACCACCATCAGTGGTGATAGAGGGTATATATAAGTTTGTCATTCCGTGTGTAACACCAAGAAATATTCATCTGAGATCCAACAAAATATATATATTCCGGCTTCTTATCAAATTCTGAGTCGATTTAGCTATGTCCGTCTGTCTGTCTACCTAAAACACGCTCACGTTAAAACTAAGCAAAAGAAATAAACCAAAGTCACCAAAAAATATTTGTTATTATCCTATGCAGTTTGGTATTGAAAATCAGCAAAATCGGTTCACAACGTTAAAAGTTATGAGTAAAAATTTCAGACTACCTCGAAAAAATTACGTTTTTTTCGTAATTCTTAAGTCGTTTTCTCAGAAACTACAAAAGATAATTCGATGAACTTTGTCACACATTATTTTTTTATCCAGGGATCAACTGTGTTGAAAATCAAAATAATCGATCCAAAATTTCCCATAGCCCCCATACAAAGGTATATATTCCCAGAAACTATTTGATCATTAATAACTCCCTCAAATATATCGGTATCAACACAACAATTTTGCACATACAAATATAATATGAACAGAAATCATACTACCAACGTAGATCACAGTCGGTCCACAATTGGTCATAGCTCCCATAGAAGGCCAACTTCCGAAAATCACTTAAAAGCACATATTTCATTGTCAAATAAAGCTATCTTCATAAAATTCGACACAAATATGTTTTGTCTAACGAAACTTTTTCCGGATGGTTCCATAATTGGTCATAGCTCCCATATAAGGTCCACTTCCGAAAATCACTTAAACGCATATATTTCATTGAATTGTAAAGCTATAGGGATAAAATTCGACTTGAATATGTTTTGTGTACATATAAATCATTCTACCACTTTTTTCCCGGATCGGTCCATTATTGGTCATAGCTCCCATATAAGGCCAACTTCCGAAAATCACTTAAACGTACATATTTCATTGTCAAATAAAGTTATCTTGATAAAATTCGACACAAATATGTTTTGTCTTTATATGAACACTCTACGAAATTTTTTCCGGATAGGCTCCCATATAAGGTCCACTTACGAAAATCACTTAGACGCATATATTTCTTTGAATAATAAAGCTATCGGGATAAAGTACGACTTGAATATGTTTTGTGAGCATATAAATAACTCTACCAAAATCTTTCCGGATCGGTCCAGGTTTGAGAGGTTTATGCTTATATAGCATTTTTTTATTAACTAAGAAATTTTTGAGACCCATTTTGATCAAAATTTTCAATATCTTATATTTAGATTTACAAGATCCCTTACATGTATTTTGATTGCCGTTGTTTCTATTATATGGTCAAGGGCCAGATGTTGGGTTACTCTTATGGAACTCAGTCCTTAAAATTATATTTTTAGATATGTCATGAAAAAATGATCAAGTCTGTCAATAGTGTTATAGTATTTTGTGTTATACTTAGTATAGTATATAGTATGTTATTGTCAAGGATGATAATATTAAAGATATAAATTTAATTTATAAAATTTGAGGAATTTAGAGCATAAGCCTAATATTTATGCAAGCTTTTAAAGCGAATTTGAAATTAAATCACACTTACTCGAGTTCAAACTAAAAATTTATTTTAGGAATTTACGATTGCAACAGCAACAACAATGGTAATCATAATGGCAAACAACATAAATTCATAGACCGTATCACGAAACATAGAACTATCAACACATTAGATAATCAGATACAAATTAGAGTAAAATTTGTTGTTTTACTAATTAAGATACATAAATGTATGCATAAGCATATAAATACGGACAGACATTCACATAGAAACAGAAAACCCCTGAAGTTTTAGCAGGAATCGATATTTTAAAACAAAAATTTCTCCGAGTTTTAATATGCAAAGTGAAAGTCAATTGTAACTTTATATCAATAATCTATAAAGTGGTTTAAATCACCCAACTAATCAATTGATATTAATTTTTAATAGGACATGTTCAGGCTTCAATAATTAGTCAAATAACTAATTCTTATACCGTGAACTGCAGGGTACAAGGTGTGTTTTATATTTGTTGCACACAAACATATTAACAAATCGGAGGTGCTATGTATGTGTGTATGTAAATATAAATACGTAATAGTAATCACATACAGTCTGATACAATTAGGTTAAATAACAGTAAATTTTAAAAATATTTTCAGATCAAAAAGGTGAAAAATTTATTTAATATCGATTAAAATAATAAAGTTTTTAAGTAATGGCCGACCTACACTAGCTATATTTAAAGTAAATAGTGATTAATGTTTTAGAACTAGTTATGTTAATAAAAGTTTATCTTTATTGGCAAACTGATTTTCTGCAAGAGAAGTTGTATAATGATTGTGTCAATTATGTCAGTTAAATTTCTATTCAAAGGATATCACATACGGGGGCTAGAGTCAACTGATTTCCGTCATACTTTTTGTCATTTCCATATTCGAGCACGGCGCACAGTGTTTTGATTTCATATAAACATTGGCCAAACATAGAAGGAATCATCGCAGATGAATGAAAATTGACCCAATTGAGCCAAATTGGAGTAATACTAATTTTATAAAAATCGTTCAAAGCCACGCCCACTTCCAAAATCCCGATCTCAGTATATGTTAAATTTTTTTTCTGCAATGGTCGAAATGGGTCTCAAAAATTCCGTAACTTTGAGCTTATCGCCCAAATAATAATTAAAATTGTTGATTGAATATTTCTAACGCATTATAGGGAGAGTATATATTCCAAATAATAAACAAGTAAGTCTATATTCGCTTTTGCCTAATCTTATATAAAATTTAAAAAAAATTTATTTTTTGATGACATTTTCTGAGGTTGCCTCGGATTTTTGCTCATATCTCTGTTATTTACGAATGGATTTTGCTGATTTAAAATAGGAAACTTCTCGAAAGTATGTCTGACAAAAGTATTGAAGATTTGGATACCGCAGATATCTGGGTTCTTCAGAAAATTTATTTCAACGGACGGCAGGCAGACAGACACACAGACAGACGGACATAGCTTAATCGACTCCACTATCTATAAGGATCCAGGCTTAATAAGGTCGGAAAATTTTATTGTGGAATTTACAAATGGAATGACAAACTTATATATACCCTTCTGACGAAAATGATGGGTATAAAAATGCGAAAAAATATTTAAATATATTTTTCTGTAAGCTAAAAATTACGACACTTTTGATAACTATTTCGATTAAAGGCGATAATTATATGCATTTCAAACCCAATAAAAATAATTTTGTGAGTCAGAAATACTCTACAAAAATTTTAGAATTATTTTTCCCGCAATCAGCGCAAAATAATGTAATTTTTGAGGGCCATTTCATTTAAATACTTTTTTTTAAATTATACTGAGGTCAGGATTTTCAAGCGCTGGTAGGGAACTGGGGACCATTTCATTTCTTATTTTTCTCGTGTTTAGTACATTAATTGAGGGGTATTCCTATATGAAATTCTTAAAAATACTATTCCTCGCGAAACTCTAATGTACATTTTGTAATTTAAATGGAATTATAAAGTTAATGTATCCCACTCCTTATTACATATAAGGATTTATAAAATATCTCTCTATAAAGTTCTGCCACAATACCTCCTGCCTCTAAGGTTATTCCTAAACTAATGAAAGTTTTGATCTAAAATTTGAAGACCTTTCCCAGATAAGATAAATTTATTTGTGTTGTTTTGGAACCTACTACTTATGCCGAATTCTATCATTATAACAAATTGTGCTGGTGTCCTTTGACTTATAGTTTTATTCTTCACTGTAGATGAACAATAAATGTAAGTATATATGTCCATCTGCATGTAATATCTAGAATACATACATACTTATAAATCTTCGCATGTAAGAAAATACGTACATATAAATACGTTTCAGTGTATTAGTTTGGATAAACTTGTTTACTTCTCACAAAAATTAAAGGATTAGTTGAATAACAAACACCTTACCAACACTTATTATATAATACTTGCATGTACGGACTTATACAAGGGTTTCCAATTCCGTACTCAGATATGTAGCTGTAAATACTGGATTTCAGGAAGTAATGTTTAATTATACCGAAAAATTTTATTAAATATATATTTTGTTTGAAAAATTAATTTTATTTTCTTTATAAAATCAACAATTTTATAAAAATTAAATTCTACTTAAGGCAATTTCGTGTGATAAATACTAATTCGTTTTTATTTCTGGGAAGTACTTTTTTCTGCAATTCTATATTTTCTTAGTTATAATAGTTCAAAATAAAAATATTACAAAATTTCTAATTTTGTTATTTTCTATAGAAACCCTACTTTTAACAAACATAACCTCACATAAATATGATTATAATTCGAAATGATTTGAACAGAGACAAACTAAAGGTT